CTCACAATAAGTGATATGGGAATGAATGTTCTGTTATCCACCTGAACAATCACCGTATCCTCACAATACATGATATGGGAAGGAATGTTCTGTTATCCACCTGAACAATCACCGTATCCTCACAATACATGATATAGGAAGGAATGTTCTGTTATGTTAAGATCCACCTGAACAATCACCGTATCCTCACAATACCTGATATGGGAAGGAATGTTCTGTTATCCACCTGAACAATCACCGTATCCTCACAATACATGATATGGGAAGGAATGTTCTGTTATCCACCTGAACAATCACCGTATCCTCACAATACATGATATGTGAAGGAATGTTCTGTTATCCACCTGAACAATCACCGTATCCTCACAATAAGTGATATGGGAAGGAATGCAAATAACAGTTTCATTACATACAAGTTGACAGGCCTGGTAAATAACAGTTCCACTACATACAAGTTGACAGGCCTGGTAAATAACAGTTCCGCTACATACAAGTTGATAGGCCTGTTAAATAACAGTTCCGCTACATACAAGTTGATAGGCCTGTTAAATAACAGTTCCGCTACATACAAGTTGATAGGCCTGTTAAATAACAGTTCCACTACATACAAGTTGACAGGCCTGTTAAATAACAGTTCCACTACATACAAGTTGACAGGCCTGTTAAATAACAGTTCCACTACATACAAGTTGACAGGCCTGTTAAATAACAGTTCCACTACATACCAAAGAAATTGTGCAATACTTTACATATTTTTGTGCAGTTAAATGAGTCTGTTTTGTTCAAACCGTTTTTAGTTTTACAGTGAAGAAAGATACCTACCATTGATAAAATGTTACAAATTTAACCAATTTCAAGAAATTCATCTTCATTTTGGAGGAATGAACAACCCATATATCAATCAATTTATTTTCATCTAGAAAATCATTTATTTAAATACATTACTTTTGATATGAATAACCTAGTTATTCAAAAGCTTTACTGTTTGATTCCTGTGACTTGAAAGACTAGGTAATTAAGTGGTACCAAGATGAGTGAAAAAAAAAAACTATCATTAATCACATTTAAATTATAAAGTGTCAAAGTCACAATAAAGGTTTTTCTTTTCATCTGGTTATATTGTATTTTTCCATTATTAATAATATTGTTACTTCATATACAGAGTTGAGTACATTTTACACATTCAATACTGTTTTAATATCAGCAAATCACAGGACAAACATGGCTGATATAAAGTCATGGTATAAAATAATGTATCAGAACTACATTGTTTGGCATTATGTAGATTGTGTGATCCAACCAAAAATGTATTGCTTTTATGAAGGGAGAAATATTCATACACTTGTATCATAAAGATGTGTTCAGATCAAATATTAGGAATTTCTGACATAGGGATATCTCTCATACTTAATGGTATTGAAAAATAAAGAAATATGGATCAACTTGGGGCACCAGGACCATTCAGAAAGAGAGCTGCAACAAGTTTTATCCCAGCAGTGGCAAGCCAGAGTTCAGCATCTTGGAATAGCTGAAAATGCACAAAGGTCAGTGGCAAAAGCCATCTACATGTCCAACACAATAGTTTGCAACATAATCAAGAAGGATCTCCATGTGGAAATGAGGCCAACAGTGTATAGGTTCACCTAGATAAGGCTTCCTGTCTAACAGCTGAAGAACAAAATGAGTATTCATGCTATTCCACAGATGGTGAGCCTCCAAAATCCTCTTAACATAACAATCTGAAGAATGTTTCAATTAATATTTTAATCACACTTGTATTTAACCATCCATATTCTAGCATGTAAACCAATTAATAGTTCTGACTCATGTTTTGATCACAAAGTTCTTGATGTCCAGATGGTGATTTATTATCACCGACGACTGCGGGTGTTGTATTTCAATGTCTGTTTTCATCATGCTCTAAAGTTCATTTGAAGTATTTCTCTCTGCAGTCCTAAAGAAAATGGTAAATAAAACTTCTTAAAACAGTAAATAAAAACTTCTTAAAACAATAAAACAGTAAATAAAACTTCTTAAAACAATAAAACTTCTCAAAACAAAACAGTCATTCTTCTTAAATAATAAGGTGAAAAACGTATTGTTAAACCAGCTAAGTTATTTCATCAGTTTTTACTGCCTATCTACAGATAAAAGTTAAGCCTCTAACTACTAGCACTAAAACACTTAAAGGTCATTCAGACAATAGAATAATACACGTTTTGACGAACGTTTTTTCTTGTCGGTCAGAAAGTGATGAAATAAATAAGCATGCTTAATATCTGTGAAAAAATAATATTTGTATGTGAAAACCAAGTTGATGATGAAAGGTAATCTCCTCATACTCGGTAAGACTTTTTAATTGACTTTAAATACAGAAACATCACAAATTTTCAAATACCCTTTGAGACCACTTGACGAACTTTGATATCAAAAGTGCCATCGATACGGACCAGTTCTTCAAATTGTCGAGTTCCACCACCAAGACCAAAATAATGTGTTTTTGCTGCTAGATAACTAGAAGTTTGATTAAGGAACTACCAAAAAACCAGATGTATTAAAATTAATCTAGCTCAGTATGTGCAAAGATTTACAGTAATCAGTGATAGTTGTAATAAAGAGTACATTATATATATTTTACTAACACATATTGGAAAGGTTCCAACACAAAAAAATCCTGTGTTTTTATAAACTTTCAACAATCTCACCATTTCTTAAACTGACAGATCCAACTTTACAAGATTATTTTACATCCTTAGTTTCTTCAGTTTGATACTTCATATTACGTATATAAATTTCTACATAAACTATTTCCTTGATAAGCAGCTGTTTTAACATTTGATTAACAGTCTGATTAAGGTCAATAAAGTAAGTCTTACTGAATAGATCTGAAAGCCTATTTTTACATGCCTCTGATTGTGAATCTGAAATGTATTGATTAGAGGGAATATAAAAAAAACGTGCAGTTTAAGTGATTTTTATCACAAATTTTAGGCCTATTGGTTTCTAATGCTTCTAGAACTTTTGGCATTTAAACTGTAACTTTTAATGTGTATAAATATGATTAATACTTGTCGTTACTTTTGTTTTATTGGTAACATCTTTCCTACTTTACGTTTCCTTTTAAAACTAAATTTGAAAAGGTTTTATGTTTTCTATCATCACAACTCTTTAATTTACTCTTTCTCAGATTAGATATTAACTGAATGTGTAGGTAGACAATGTTGCAAGCTTTTAATAAAACGTCTGTGAACTGATCACTTCAGTCTGACTCTGACAAAGACTTTTGTCCATCATACAGACTGCATAATACAACCTCATAAGTTGGACTATTATTAAACCTCACAAGTAGGTCACCCATTACACAAGTTGGACTATTATTAAATCTCACAAGTAGGTCACCCATTACATAAGTTGGACTATTATTAAATCTCACAAGT